AAATTCTTTATTTAACGCTTAAAAAAAATTTTTTTTTTTGGGTATTTGTTTCGTCGGTGTAATCTAACCTTTTCAGTATTGCAAACTTCAAAAAAAAAAATAATAATAATTTATTTATTTCTAATTCGTGACGTCATTTTTAATTTAATCACGCGTTTTTTTTTTAGGTGCTAAGATTTTCCTGTCGAAAAAGTTCAATAAAAATCGCCAAGCTGTTGGGTTTATGTGATTTGAGTTACCGCCCGAGTTTCTATAGCAACAGGTACGTATATACTCACAGATATTTTTTTTTTTTTTTGATTAATTAAAATTTATTTAAAAAAAACTAAAAATAATACTAATAATAATAAAAAAAAAAAAACATGTTTTGTGAGTCAAACATTATTATTATTATTATATCTTTCTCGGTTCCATTTTTAATTTAAAAAAAAAAAAAAAAGAGGCAATGTTTAAAAATGGTCGAACCCTCGACGTCTCATAAATAAGATGTCAATAAACAAGTTCGACTTTGGATTATTAACAGAAGACATTTTGGTTATGATTGGATGAGAAAAAGTTGTTTACAGAGTTAAGAAACGTGCTTATAAACTCAACGCCCAGATATTCAGACTCTTTTTTCCCATTTTTTTACATCCAGATTATTCAATTTAGTTATATATATATACTCATTACTGTTGTTGGCAATCATTTATTTTTATATAATTTATTTTCTTGTTTCAAATAAAATAAATAAAGAAAACAATGAAAAAAAAAAAAAGAAAAAACAACCTTTGGTAGGGGATAATACGTTTGCTGGATAATATTTTATCCATAATGAACACGTCATTCATTTTTTTTTTTCCAATGCGACACGAGTTTGTGGCTTATTATTATTATTATTATTATTATTATTTACTTAATTTATTTAACCGATACACGCACGTTTTTTAAAATTTAAAAAAAAAAAAACTGGAAATGGAGGAAAAAAAATAAAAATAAAAATAATTTTTTTTTTTAAGGTTTCCCTGCAAGCTGTCACCGAGCACCCTGGCAAGTATACAAGGTAATATTCATTTTTTTTTTTTTTTAAATAATAAAAACAATTTAAACTTTTACCAAAAGAAAAACAAAAAAAAAATTTAAATACGAGTCGTTATTTTTTTCCCAACGCCACGTGTAATTCGAAACTGATAATCGAACACGTGATGACGTTACGTAAATATCGTAGGGAAAAACAAAAAAAAATTTTAATTTAATTTTTAATAATGAATTTTTTTTTTTAATTCTTGATTGTTTGTACATATTTCACTTGGAATTGTTGGTGTCATCTACGGAAATCCGGACACTAGTTGTGTGGGATTATTGTAGGAGGTATAAAAAACTATTAGATCACACAGGTGAACGACTATGTGATTGGAAATTTAACAAAAAAAAAAAAACTCCTACGCGCCAACACTTATAAATAAAATATCCGTAGAATTTAAAAACGTTTTTAAATAAAAACAGCAACAACAACAACAACAAACGATTTAAATTTAATATAAAAAAAAAAAGTTTTTAATGGGTGGACAGAAACAAAAAAAACAATAGTTTTTCGAAAGCCGCTTGTCTCGTTTGTTTTTTTTTTTTTTATTCAAATACTTCGTATTTTGTTCTTACGTCAAAGGGTTAAAAGGTTAAAAGAAAAAAAAATTTAATTTAATTAATTTTTTATTCGATTGGTTCAAAAACAAAAAAAAACAGTCGTGCGTACGAAATCCAATGAAAATTTTCCTTCTCGGTTTCTTTTTTTTTTTTTTTAAATTGCGAACAAAACAATGAGATTGTTTTTTTTTTTCGTAAAAATATATTAAGACCGGTTTCGCTTTTGTTAAACAATAGGTTAAAATAAGTCTTTTAAAAAAAAATTTGTTTTTTTTCCTCTCTCTCTCTCTCTTCCATTATTCAACTTCAACCCTCGTCATTATCGTTTATTATATCATCCCCCATAGTTTTATTTTAACCCAGATGGTGGAGATACCTCGTGGACGTTTTGCGAAATTTTAATTTTTTCCTTTTTTGAGGTTATCAAAGGTTAAAATTTATATAAATAATTTAATTTTTATCTGATAAGACGCTGAACGCGTGCGTGCGTGCGTGCGTGCGTGCCTGCCTGCCTGGTTAAAAAAAAATTTTTCTAATTTTCTCCAGCGTCTAAGTCGAATTAATTAAAATTTTAAAATCGATTCACGAACAAAAGTTTTAGGAATTAAGTTCGTTAATTAGTTGGAAACCTTAAACAAGAACAACCGCAACACGAACAACAACCACAACAACCGAAATTTTAATCGTTCGGTCGGTTTCCAAGAACACTTTTCTATTAATTTATTAGAAAAACACTCGGAAACGTCACTCTTTCATTATATTCGTTTAACTTGATTTGGTTTTTAAGTTTTTAAAACTTAAAGAAAACAAAAAACAGACGTTCCACCATTTTCTTGATAACTTAAATATAAATAAAAAAAAACGACAAACAAAATGGTCGATTACTACTTTTAAATTAAATTTGTTTTGAAAAAAAAAAAAAAAATTTTTTTCATGGCTGCTTTTTTTTTTTTTATGTTTTGTTTGTTTCGTTCTTTGTTTAATAAATTTATGCATTGTTACTCGTTGAAAGATATCGGTTAAAAAAACATAAACATAAACATAAACACAACAACTAAAATAATAAATAACTTGATAAATAATAATATTTGTGTTGTACTCAAATCTAAACTTTTAATAAATTTATTTCCGTTTGTTTAGTGAAATGTAAAAAAAAACATTCGCGTCGTCAATTTTTTTGGAATTGTCTGATTCCAGACAAAATTTCTCCATGAAAAATTAATTTAAAATATTTTTAATTATTATTATTATTATTAAAAAAAAATTATTCAAGGCTGTAAATTAAATTGCCGAAAGGATTTTTTTTTTTTCGGGGAAAAAAAAACCTTAAAATCGTTCACTTTCCCTCCCTTTATTTTTCTTACCCAACATTATTCAATAACAACAACCTCAACAACAACAACCGTTTGACAAAAAAAAAAATAAGTAAATGTTATAAAATGTCCGACCTTAAACTCGGCTCGTGGTTGTTGTTCTATTATTTATACTTTTAAAGCAATTAAAATTTATTCCAGCAATAAAAAAAAAAAAAAAAACTGGAGAGTTTACGGTTTTGATTTACCTATTTTTTTTTTTTCGGGGAGGGTACGCACGCACACACGCACGCACACACACGTTTCGACGATGCACGTGGAAAATTTATTACACCAATTTATCTTTTTATTTGTTATTTTATATTTGATGATTAAAAAAAAAATGTGTGTGTGTGCGAAATCGTAGAAATCAAGTTAGATAACGGTTATCATTAACGATAAGGAAAAAATTTGTTCGTTTTTGTTTTGAATCCTAATGGAGTCTTTAAAAATTAAAAAAAAATTTTTTTCTTTCTTTTTTTTCGGTCGATTATGATGGGCTTAAAAAAAAAAAAAAAAATTATTAAAAGGAATTGAACGTTTGTTTAGTTCTCGGGGATATCATCAGAAAGCGTAACAATCGTCTGGCGGTTGGTTAATTCTGCGCGGGCTCGAGAACTCGAGGAATGGACCGCCTGCATTCTACTCTTCAAACTATTAGACAGTTAGACTCGACAGTCTTAGCTTAAAACACGGGAAAATAGATTATCATTATTATTATTATTATTATTATTATTTGTACATTACGTTTACGTATATATATATATGTAACATCGGAGTTAAACGAAAAAGATACATATATAAAAAAATTACTTATATATATTGTTAATTAATTATATAAGGAAAAGTTTTTTTTTTCTCTCTTTTTTTTTCTTTTTTTTCTTTTTTATTATTATTATTATTATTATCATCATCAATAGTAATAATTTTTATTCACGTATTGATATTTATTTAAATTTAAAAATTTGGCGGGAAAATAAAAGACAAGTTTAACGAGTTTAAATTGTAATAAAAAAAAATAATTTTTTTACTATTCTATTCACACGAAAAACACAAAAAAAATAATATAAATAATAATAATAATAAACCGATCGTATTTTGGTTGTTGGTATTTTTTTTTCCGTTTCGTCGTTTTGTTATTTAAATTTTCGGTAT